CCGTTGCAGGGGCGGGGAGCCAGCCGGGGGCCAGCCCGGGAGCTGGTTCTCGACTCCCAGCCCTCCTCAGCAGCAAGCGAGCGGCGTGTGTGTACGAGCAGGCATGGCTGATTGCCTCCTGCATGCATCCGTGCCTCGCTCTCCCAGTAGCGAGAAGGCTGGGTCGTGCTCCCGAAGCCAAATTAACGGTGAGCAGGTTTCACCCTCCTGTACGGCAGCAGCTTGGATCCAACAGAAGCACCCCGAAATGGCTGCTTGGCACTCGGCAGGGGATGCCAGGAGCAAGGATGTGCTACGGGCAGAGGGGGTGATGGAGGATGCTGCAGGCCACCGCGGGGGACCAGGTGGTGGTCACCCAGGGCTGATGTCCTTACTGTGAGACTGGTGGGGTCAAGGACAGAAGCCAAGTGCTAACCCTCCATGTCATCCCAGACTTCAGAGAAAATAAGGGGGATGCCAGGCCCTGCCTTCTTTGTACCTGCTCCCCTCGGGGTCTTAAACTCCCCCTTGGCTGGATTTTAAGGTTGCACCCTGGAGCGGGCTCCCATCCCCTCGCTCCCGCTGGTGGTAGGAGGGAGGAGAGCTGCAGCTCCCAGACAGAAGCTGTTGCTCTGATTCAGGCTGGGCCCAGAGCAGCAGCGGTGAGGCTCTGACCTGCTTTCCTCCTGTCTGCTCATTTTGAAGCGCGAGAAGGAGGCCGCGCTGGGTGGACGCTGAATAATTCAAAGTCAGGCTCCGCAGCACCCCAGGGCTGGGCATCGCCTCTGCCAAAGGGCTGGGATGGCTCAGCCAAAATCCTTCCTCACCAGAGGCAGAGGGGACACGGAGCGGCTGAAATGCAGCATCCCTCTTGTGTACGTACCGGCCAAAGCCGCTTCCTTCCCCGGGATGCCCAGATTCACAGCTTGCTCCCAGAGCACTGGTGCTCAGAGGCTGTTAGTGCTTTCAGCCGTGACATGGCATCTCCTGCTCTCGCTAACGGACAGATTCAAGTGGAGCATGCTGAGTGTGTCTGCCTCTACTCTATGGACCACATTTTCTTCCTTCCTCCCTTTTAGAGACTGCAATGTTCCCTCCCCTGCTTGGTCAGAGACAAGGCAGGATTGTAAGACGGGGAGAGAGACTGTTCATCCAGCTTATGCTTAGCCTCTGAGCGGGGTTTGCTAGAATTAAGGACAAGGAGGGGAGGGGCAGAAAAAAAAAAAATCATACATGAGGTCAGCTTATCCAGCCATGTGTGAGGAGGAGCACAGCAAAGGCAGCCTCAGCAGGTCAGGCAGGCGGCTGGGGAGCATCTTTGGGGGCTCCATGGGAGACGGGGGGGCACCAGGAGCTGGTGAGCATGTGTGGTGCTGGCAGCTGGGAGGGACCCGGCTCCCAGCTCCAAGCCTAATCCGAGTTGTTTATCCCAGCACAGACAGAGCACGAGAAGAAGCAGGCCATGTTTCCTCTATCTTCTCTACAAGCGGTTTGTTCCCCTCAGTTTTGCATCTTTTGCACAATTAGCCCAGTAAAACGAAGCACTGCCCGGTCAGACTTCTCTACCCGTTCACATAAGGCGGAGCATTACTAATGGTTTTCTAATGGTTCTGCTTCTGAGAGTGTAAATTATTGCATGAAGGAGTGAAAACCCAGCGGGCTGTGCTAGGGATCCACTGTCTGGAATGAAATGAGAAATTTTGGTCCCCAAAGTCTCTGTCTGACGGCCTGAGCTCAGGCCTGGGAGTCACTAGAGCCACGTGTGAGTTACGGGCTCAGCCTCCGTGCTCTGCGCAAGTCACCTCTGGAGTCTGAGCAACAGGAATTATTGTGCACAGAGATAATTATTCCCTGCATACTGCACTACAGCTCATTAAAAGTTTGTTAATGTTTGCAAATTGCTGAATAGTGTTTTTCATTGTTGCCTTCTCTGGTGAGGCGGGGACTAAAAGGCAGATTCTGATGGTGACTTGTTCTCTGTGTTATTTTGGTCACAGCAGGCTGGGGCTGCGCTGCACGTAGGGAAAAGGGTTTGTGTTGTGCAACTTCACACCACGGGAGAAAATGCTCTTGACTTTAGCACGCTGCGCAGGGGTCAAGGGGCTGAGTCCCACCAGCGTTAGCTTTGCTTCTCCATCTAAAGCTCGAGACTGTCCTCTCTGCCTTCAAGTAAATGCCTACATCTGAGCTAATTGCTCCGATTTCTGAAAAAAAGCGTGTGACTCCTTACTGGAGCCTCAGCTGGAGATGTTGACTTACCATTAAACGATCTGTGCTACTGCAGTCGGATGATGGGAGTAAAGTATCTTTCATCTTGGAATAGAGACTGCAGATCCACCTTGGGCAAGGACGTGGACATCGTAACCCCCCAGCACCAGATACCTGGGGAAAACAGCTGAGTTCAGTGAAAAAGTCCTGCAGAAGGAACAGGAAAGGGTTAACCGGCCCAGCTTCACCTCTACATTTTTCATGCACATGGACAGCACTACGCCAGGGGCAAGGAGGAGTTGCAGTAATACCTGACAGCTCTTCTCCTGTCTTCCTCTTCCAGGTGTAAATGCAACCTCCACGCTAACCTGTGCACCTTCAAAGAGGGCAGCCTTCAGTGCGAGTGCGAGCACAACACCACGGGGCAGGACTGCGGCAAGTGCAAGAAGAACTTTCGCTCCAGGTCTTGGCGAGCAGGATCCTACCTGCCTCTCCCCAACGGGTCCCCCAACGCATGTAAGTAACCTGCAGCGAGCCAGCCCTGGCCGCACTCCCACCTTGGGCTGCGCAACGCCCACAGATGGGAGCGGATTCTCATCTTGTCCTTCTCCATCTCGAATCAGTGCAGGATGCTCAGCTTTTGAAAGGGAAGCGGGTATTTACAGGTGTCTCGGTACGCAGAAGAATGAGAGAGGATCTGGGTGGATGCGGAGGTGAATTGTTGGCTACTGGTAGAAAAGTGATGAGTCCAAATGGTCGAGAATAGGAAGGATGACCTTGGGCCAAGATAGAGGTCCATGGCTTTGTGGCAGTGCAAATTACTGTCCTTTGAAGAAGACATTATTTAGCCACAGTAGAGCACTGGCTGTCAAGTAGTTCATGGGCTCAGCGCTGGCACTGCTCAGCCGCGGGAGTGCAGGTTGCTTTCTGGATTGCTTTCTGGATCCCGTCTGTGTATGTCGGTATTTCAGGCAAGCGCTGCCAGCCGCGGTCCCTCTGCGCAGCTCCAGTCTCATCCAATTGCCTGCTGGAGCAAGGCGCTGACAGAAGCAAAGGCGCGCAGACGAGATGGAGGATGCATACCCACCATCGTTCGAGCAGGGGAATTGGGGCAGGAAACATCACAGATGGGCCGGTTTCTCCTGGGTTTCTGTCCAGTCCACATTAGCAGACTTGTTTAAATGTCACGGAGCCACAGTAGCCACTCCAGCCTTTCAAGCAGCAGCTTTGAGCGTTACCAAAGAGAATCTTTTCCCTCCCTCCCCCCAGATTTTTTGAAAGATTTATGTGCTTTAAGATGATCAAAGCTGAAAGTCAGGCTCCAAAGGCCGTGACGGGAATGTTTTGTGTGTGCCAGGGCTGGTAGACGAGCAGGTTCTTTGAAAGGGAACGAGCTTGTCAGCTCCCACCAAGCGGCTGCATTGCTTCAAAGGAGCCTGGGAGAGTTTCTGGTGTTGACAGGCACAGACATGCTGTTCTCTCTCTTTCACTCCCCTCCATTCCTTGTGTCTCTTCCTATTTCTCTTTCTCCTCTGCTCTTTCTTCTCCCATTCATCTCTCTTCCCATCTGTCACTCAGTCTTCTTCCTCCTCCCCCCGCCCCGACTCTCTCTCTGTTGCTTCCTCCTCCCCCATCAACATCATCCTCTTCCTCTGCCACAGAGGCATTTCTCTGAAGTCCTCTCTTCTTGGTGGTCCTGCTTCTTCCATCACCGGTCCTGTGCTTTATGTTCATGCAAAGCTAAGACTTTCCATGATTCATCCACTTGTTATAGTAGAGAGGACCATGGACATTGGTCTCCTGGGTGCCGAAAGCCAGAAGCTGGTCCTTGGGTGGCCTTCGACTGGCGGGTTTGAAGCCAGTGGCTTTGCAGCATCCTGTTGAGCAAGTGCTGCAGTGAGAAGGGTGTTCAACCCTTCTCGCTCACGGAGAGCTGCCCCAGGTGCAACAACCTGGTTTAGACCCTACAGCTTGTACTTAGCCCAGTGAACCTCAGAAGATGTGCTTGTCCTTTGCTGGGCTTTAATGGTACGTCAAGGAAATGATTAACAGAAAACCCATCAGCAAGGAACACGCTGGTTTTTCTTCCCCAGGTGAAAGTCTTGAGATGCCAAGACCCCAGACAGCACTGTCTGGTTGCCTCTGTGGTTTGAGAAAAGCAGCTTTTAAGATGTTGCAGCAAACTGATATGCCTATGAGCAAGACCCCTGCTAATTAATTGGTGTTCGGTCCCGTGTCGTGTATCCGTTTGATCTTCTGCTGGTACCAGAGCTGATGGTGTCCTGCTTCCAGTGACCGGGCTTCTTCTTGTTTTTTCTAGGTGCAGCTGCAGGCTCAGCCTTTGGCAGTAAGTAAAAACATAACTGAAATGCTGGCATTTAACACCTCGGTGCATGGTCCTTGTGGATGTCACTAGGAAAAAAAAAATTTGTTATTTTCTGTCCATTATCATTTTCCAGGCAATAAGTCTTCCCTAATTATGCCTCATTTTCTGTCCTGTCAGAGAGTCTTATATTTTCTTCCTTTGACTTCAGTAGCCTCATTCTGCCTCTTCCTCTGGCACGGTTTCCCCCCATGAGGTTCGTTAGAATGGCAGCCGGAAAGGAAATAAAAAAAGACTCTTCAAAACCACCAGTGCTTGCTGTGAACTTTTCCCTCCCAGTATTGCAGACTTCTGCTCTGAGAAGGAGCTGGGGTTGAATTATTTGGCATAGCATCCAGTCTGGGTCACCTTGGGCTATCGATAAAAAAAAATAGAGCGAGTGTGTGTACATCTGTATGTACATGTGTATGTATATGAACATATGTCTATGAAGTGTCGGCAGCAAAGACAGTAGAGCTCAGCGGGGATTTCTACTGAAAGATTGATGGTATGGTAGGACTCCTTATTTAACAAAGCTGGAGGTAGTTTGATATCAAAGCGCCTTGAGTTTTGGATAAGCAGAAACCTGGGTTTGAATGTTGTGGCTTGGAATTACCCTCCAGAAGAAATAAATCGGAGAGCTGAATGAATAATGAATTCTTTGGTTTGCAGGCAATCTCTCTCTTTCAGAGGAGAAATAGTTTCGGAGAAATAGTTTCAGAGAAATACAAATGCAATTAAGAAAAATGCACCTAATTGAAAAGTGGAGGACAGTTTTTTCTGGGTAAATGAGCCATATTTAGATTTTAAGCAAATTTAAATAGTTACAAATTTCAAATAAAAATTAAAAGTCTCCCTTAAGTAATTTAGGATTTAAAAAAATTAAATGTTTTAACAGTCCAAAATATTCTTTGCTTTTCTGGTCAAAACCATTTTGTTAACTCTCTTTTTCCCCCTTAAAGGATCTCAGCATTCTCAGCACTACCTTTGTTTCACTGGAAAATGTTTCCCATCGCATTCTTCTGCTAGGGAGAAGCTGGGGGGGTGCTGGGAGCGATGCGCAGGAGGTGGACAGGAGGGATTTGTGTCCAAGGCCAGTTAAGGAGAGATTATTTAGCCTGCATAGGAGACTAGAAGTGACCTAAATTAAGTATTTAAACTAGCTCAGGGCTATTACGAGATTAAGCACGATAATCTGCATGAAGCAGTGGGACAAACAAGGACAGGAGGGCAGCAGGTGTAAGTTAAGTAGGAATTTGTGTTCCGAGTGTTATTTTAGTTCAGGCTGTTGTGGCGAGCGCGGTGGGGTGGGCACCGCACCCGGGATCACTCCCGCTCACCTCCGCGGGGCTTGCTGGCGTTAAGCCATCGATTAATTTGCTCTGCTGAACGAAGGGTGCAGGTGGAAATTAATACATGCCAATCGTACAGGTTGGTTTCGATGGTGCCGGGTAGTTTGCTGCCTGGGGGTTGGCAGAAGGGAATGGCGTTTCTGGAGCCGGGGCAGGCAGGGCTCTGCCGACTGGCACGTAGACGTCAGGCGGCGGAAGCCCAGCTCCCGGCAGGGTGGGCTGGGGGCTCCTCTGCACCTCCCGCCCGCTCTTCGCCCCATCTTTGTCCAGGCAGGCTTTCACTTCCCCTTTTCAGCTTAATTGGCAATTAGTTTATGATAGAGCTGTAAGTATTTAAGCCAATATCTGCACCAACAGAGTAAGCTGATACAGCCACAGCCTCCGGCCCCTGCACGTACACACGCGCTCGCTGCTTCCAGCGTCATCGAGCTGCCATCGCCTTAATCCTCTCAGTGCCCCAGTTGTAACCGTGCTGAGAAATCGGTCACCAGTTCAGCCCAGCAGCGGCAGCCTTACGGGCGTGCGGGCTGGGAAGGAAACCCTCCGTTCCCTCCCAGTAAGTGCCTCCCACCTCTTCTCTTTGCTTGCTAGCGTATGAGCGACCGCAGCGGGTCACCACTGCAAAAACCACCACCGCAAAAACGACCACCACAACAACACCCACCACCACCACCACCAGCACCTCCCTACCTGCCGCCACCACCCAGCCAGGTGGGTGCCACGCTCCCTGCCTTGCTCGGAGGGCCAGGACTCCGCCACTGGGCTCCTCTTTTCGGCTGCTTCCCATCCCGGCTCTTCCAGTGGCATGTGGGGCTGCCATGGCGGTGGCCCTGGTTATCTGCTCTGTAGGATGATAAAGGGACATGGATAAAAATCATCCTGACTCTGTTCACATCCCCCAGCCTCTGGGCAGTCCTGGTTTGCTTTTCTCTCTATTCAGCCCGAGGACACTTCGACGTGTATAACATGAGCTAGGAGCAAGCAGGGAGCCAGCCACAACAGGTCCACCTCAAAGCCAAGAGACAACCACACCATGGGTTGACATCCCCCCTCACCGGCTGATCTCACTCTGCTGTTGCTCTGTTATCATCAGGGCAGCAAGAATTGAAGCCAGGACTGGATGCAGGGGAAACAACGCTTTTCCCTTTTTTCTCTCAATTTTGTTTTTTTAAAAAGAAAAGGTTTTCAAAACCCATCCCTCCTAGAGCCACTTGGCAACGTTGTCCTGCAGAGGGCTGGCACGGCTGCAGGAGACGCTCTCTTACAGCTCCCATCACAAGGCAGGGCAGGAAAGCAATGAAGGCTTTACTGTCCCACCGTAAAATTAAACCACGTACCCAGTCTTGCCTGGCTGGAAGGAAGGGGAATTGTACCCCACCTCCTGCCACTCATCGGCAGACTCAGAGCAGCCCGCAGGCTTTGCTAAGCCATGCCAGGGACGGGACTTTGGATCAAGGGAGAAGCTGGCTCTGTCCTTGCTGGCTTTCCCAATCCTGCATCAAGTCCTGCTGGCCGGACTCGGGATGTAATGCAGGCTGGCTGCTCAAGGGCAGTTTTCCTAGGGCAGAGCCGCACTCCAACATTCCCCAGGCGGCCGCTGTACGAGCGGGCAGGGCGCGTGCGGGGCTGGAGCTCACACACGCGCCAGAAACACCCTTTCCTAATTTCTAAAATCACCCCGTGGAGGAAAACTTTTGTCCTTTTTCTGCGGGTTCCTCCTCCCTTCCCCCGTGAACAAGGAGACAGCGTTTTCACTTGTCTTTTGGAAATGAGCAGATAAAACTTAACAGCAGGACTTTTTTTTAAGCTTCTCATGGGGGAATTAGACACGCATTCCTCCCCTTGCCATGCTTTCTGGGCCTGATATTTCCCAGGAGGACGTTTTACACCCACAGTATGTTAGTAACAGTCTGTCTGGGGGAGCTGCCAGAAGCCAGTCAAAGGGATGAGGAAACTTGATTGCATGTTTATGCAAATATAGATATATTCATGGAAGTACCCTGCTTGAGTAGTTAATCAGGAAGCTGAGGGTTTAGCTCCAACTTCCATGGAGTTGGAATGACCCTGGGCAAAAGAGTGCAAGTCTCTTGTCTGTTTAGAAGTGCTCCTCACCCAGGTCCACGTTGTACGTCCATGTTCATCCACCACCCCTGCCCAGAGCTCACATCATCACCATGGCCCCAACAGCAACAAGATCACGTCTACATCTACACCACACTCTTGGGGTCATTTGATTTTTATCCATGCTCACCTTTAGCAACATTTTAGGTCCATTTTTTTGCAAGTGCTGTGTACGCGTGGGTGGTGTGTTTGGTGTCTATCTCGTGTCGTATATCTGGGGCAGGCAGGACGGCATCTGTGTGGGGTTGGGGGGTGGCGGGGGTAGTCTCTCCTGCCAAACTGCTCCGAGGGACCTGGGAGACATCATGCACCTCAGGGTTTATTCCTTCTCCAAAACCTGCTTCCTGGGCAGAGAAAATGTTTTCATAATGCTTTCATTAACTGATGGCAAAGGACAAAATAAATAAATACATCACAGTCCAGCCACCACATCTCTGGCTTGATATGGTCAGGGCTGAGCTCAGAGCTCCTCGCCCCCATCCAGACCCCCATCCATGTTTCTGCACAGCCAGGTCCAACCCCAGAATGGTGTGCCTGGGGAGGAGACAGCCTCTGGAGAGGCTGCTCCAAATAAGAAGGTAGTCAGAGCCACCCAGCAGCTCAGGGACCTGCTGTCTTACGTGGGCAGCATGCTGGGTTTGATGCCAAAGACCCATTGTGTGCCTTTGACCAGCAACAGGGAATCAAGGCACAGCCTAATTCTGATCTGCTTTTGACCAGAGACCTTCTCCTCCCCCTCCAGTCCCGCAATATGTCAAGTACTTCTTTAAGTACCGTGACATCCCCAAGGGATTGTGAATGTAACTCGCTTGGAGCTCAGGAAAAACACCTTGCTGAAGAGGTGACCCTTCGAGCTCCTGGTAAGGCACCTGTTTGCAGGAGACGCAATAACCCCAAGCTGGCTCAGAGTCCCAAAGTGAGATACTCTGTCACTACCTCCCGTCTGAATTTTAGAAGCATTGAACAAATCCCTCCTTGCTTTAAAGCCAGCTCAGCAAGCCAGACATTTAAAAAAAAAGTCCTGTTGAGGCCCTGCCCCGTCCCTGTGCTGTTTCACCCTCTAATTTACACACTGTCTTCTGCCCTTTGAATTTCTGCTTCCCACCATAAGCAAGCATCGTCAGACCAGCCTCTGAGTTCGCTGCCCCTGTGCCCGTGAGAGAAACACAGAAAAACCCAGGTATTTAAAGCCAGACCGATGTGTTTTTCCCTTCTCCTTCATGCCTCCGCACACTAGTGGGTAGCAGCAAAGCAGAAAGCAACGTAGCACGTAGGCTAGAGGAGTAGATTAGATTTAGGTTGTCTCTGGGTTGCGTGGATCTGCTAGACATCTGCTTCCTTTGGCTGCTCGTGGTGTTTTCCATGGTCAAGGTGGAGCTGTGGTCATGTTCGTAGGACGCTTTTGTGCTCGGTCGCCTGCGGTGAGAGGGGGGAGAAGAATGAGTTTATGGGCACGATCTGTGGTCTGAAGGCAGTCGAGGCTGCCAAAATGGGTAGAAGGAAGGGAAATCG